ACCCTAAACCCTAAACCCCAGCCTGGATCATCAAGCCATCCCCTGCGGTCAAGATGTCCATCCTGTGTTCACCGGGCACCTCGCATGCAATGGGCTCAGACCTCTCCAGGATGTCCCAAGATCGCTGGGTGTCTGGCCCGGACGGTGAGGTCCTCACATTTTCCCAACTTTTAAATACCTATCGTATCCATTGGAGTTCATTGGTTTCAGGTAACCCCAAAAGGGAACTGCAATGGAGACTATAGGTAGTTAGGTAGTTACCCCACTCAGGCAGGGGGCAGTCCCTGAATGTTCGGGTCCTCATCTGCCATCTCGCCTGCACCTGGCCAAGCCAAGTGCTGCACCGACCTCCGGACAGGCTCAAATCACTTGCAAACCCAAGGACTCCGTGTGAGAATCAGGCTTTGCAATTGCCCGCGGCGAGACGAATCTCGATTTGAGCCAAGATAATGATGTATTTATTGCGCATGGCATCTACATATCGAGCCGCTCACGAGACCGCACTGTCAACCCACAAATAACGGAGAAGTCTTTTGAAACCCACGGAGTGCGTGCTGCATCCAAGGGCCCAAGAGAAGCTATCTAGTCGACCGGAACACCGGCGCTTTCAAAGCTGTACAGTCGGCTCACAAGATCGTCCTTGCGGCCGCTCACCTGCCAGAGAAGTCGCGCAGCTGCCGGAGTCTAGAGGGCAGCGAAACGCAAAGACGGGTCCTCGAAAAAGGGACGAGTACTTTGACTCGGTACCAAGACATTCGGAACTGAAGATCTGAGGCGCTGGCCTTGAGACCTTTGCTTTTCAACAAGTCCTCTGGCATTCCGACAAGGATCGTAGCCACAAGATAGCGTTGCAGCACTCTACTGTTTCGATTCCATACAAATCACACAAAACCCTAAACCCTTTTGAACCCCCCTAAACCCTAAACCCTAAACCGAGCACTTCGACCTTGAGCTGGGAGATGGTCATGTTCGAGAGCTCTTCTTTGGAGGGTGCAGCCTGGCAAAGTTGGAGGCATGAGGCGCGAAGCAAAGATATAGACTTTTGGGAGCTCCACCACCTTCGGACACATCAATCAAACCTAAAAGTAAGAAGCCACTCTAAACCCTCAACCCTAAACCCGCAATTGCATGAAAGCCCTGCTTCGACATCAGGAGAGCCTCTTCCGCTTCTTCGAAGTCCTGGCCGGCCCGGACGGACCGGTTCGACATCAGATGCAACAGTCACACCTTTCGAACGACCTTTTTTGCACAGGCTTGCGTTAATCCCGCCTGGACGTGTCGCACCCGTTCTCCGAACAAGGCCAAAGAAGACCTAAACCCCCAAAAGTTGGTAAAATAATGGCCCTGAACCTCTAAAAGGCTATTATTCTACGTACTTTTGGGGTCCATGTAGGCTTAAGGCTACGCAGGGTCCAACACCGACGACTGCACTTCAGTACATCCTAGTCCTAGTCGACACTCTGCCCTGTCTGCCGCCACGCCAGGTCTCAAATTGGTGGCTCACATGTTGTCTGTTCAAACAGCTTCCCAGGATCGGGCCTCAACTGGTGGCCCTGCTTGGTCATCATCCACTTCCTGGTCAAAGCTCCATGCTTGGTCTGTTCAATGCTGCTGCAATGCTGCGCGATCTTCAACAGCTAGCTTCAATTGACCGGTCCTCCTGTGTACTTCCTTGTCCCAACCTCAGCAAATAATGCAAATCACTTTTCTGGGGCTTGCGACAATGATGGCTTACATATGCTCCCAACAACATGAGATAGGCTTGCGGCACACCCACCACAGATCGTACGCACTGTACTAATTTCTCGCTCACCTCCAGCTGCGTGAGGTTGATTTGCGCGCCAGCAGTACTTGGTGCAAAACTCTTTTCCCAGGCCTCAGAAATTTCCATTCCATCCGTTTGGTTCTCGGCCCCATCGAGAGCATCGATAGCTTTCCATGCAATGGCATCATTGACCAGCTGCCGCAACCGGAGAAGTAGCTCGTTCGTGCGCTTCACTCGGGCTCCTACCTGTCAGAGAAGACTTCAACGCCGGCTGCTCTGCCTTGGATGCCGTGCCTGCAACCAGTTGTCCAAAACCATACAGGTGTGCTTCTTCTGGTCGTCGGACTCCTACGGCAGGCTGGGCGTTTCAAAGTCCGGCCCATTCACGTTCTGAGGTGGAATGTGTCCTTGTATCGCAGGCCGCCAAACAGCGCTAGCTGCCAGTCTGCTACTTGGGTGGTGCTGTGCATGAAAGACCGGTTGGCTCCCACCTGCAGAGGTCCCGTCTCGCACAGCAGGGCCATGAAAAATCGGAAGCTTAAGGCAACACACCAAATACTCGAGGAGTTTATCACAGCCTGCACATCTCCATAGAGCCACCATAGGCCATCCTCGCCTTGCAGAAGTCTTGTTCGAGAGCGGCCTGCAAACCACTCGAGCCTTTTCGTTCGCACCTTCGGCGTTGACGGAGGCCGGGGACATGACCGCAGTCCCCAAGTTGCTGATCTGAAAGCTCGAGGTCTTGTCCTTGGACCTGGATTGGATTTTCCGGTTTAGGGTTTAGGGTTTAGGGTGCTATACTGATGCAATGCATGCACCATGTCAACTTGTTGCGGCCCGGATGCCTCATAGCAATGTTTGCCGGATATGCGCTGCAAAGAACCGTCACTAGCTGGATGTCACCTCAGTATGTGCCGGACTTGAGAATCAACTGTGACTGATTTGCTCACATAGTTGGAATCTCAGCAGGAAGCTGATTGAATTGGCACTGGACGATGAGGACATGTCTTGTCCTTGATCGTGCTCCTGAAAGGAGTTAACTTGAAACCATACCGGGCTGCTGGCCCACCATCACCCCATGAATCAATGAACATACAACCTTTTGACTCATGAAGTTCGATATACTACACAGTACAACGGTATCGCGACCGAGCTGTTCGAAAGACTGCATCACAACGGGGAAGCTACAACGCCGTGCAACACCAACCCGGCCTCTTGTTCCACTTTCTCGAGCGCCTCTTCAGATCATGTAGCCACTTGTCACTCTGTTAACACCACTGGGACTCGTTAACCTCTCCAGATTTAGGGGGTTCCGAAAATAAGGGACCCTAATATAGTACCCTACATAGTAGGATCCCTATTATAAGGACCCCAAAGTAAGGTACCCCTTGTTTTCGGAAACTCCAGAATTTCCCTGAGCCTCTTCGAGCTCCCCGCGCGTCTCAAGCAACGCGGCGCTGTCCTCTGCAGCCGAGACATCCTCGGGAATCAAGCATATACTTGGAGGACCATGGGACTTAGTAAGTAAGGTTATAAGTCCCCTAATTGGGGTTATAAGTATAGTTACCTTAATTATAACCCTACTTACTAATATGGGGGTTTCCGAAAATAGGGCACCCTAAGATAGTACCCTAAATAGTAGGATCCTTCTTATAAAGACCCCAAAATAAGGTACCCTAATTTTCTGAAAGTCCCATATAGGACTGGCGTACTCACTGCTACAATTTCACAGAATGCCGCAGATGAGTCGCCGCGTCCGTCTTCGTACCTGGCTCATTGCTGAGGTAGAAGTGGGAAGGGAGGCCCTGGTAAACAAAGGTACATCCAAGTACATAATGTGAATTCCTCTGCCATGCTGAGAAGGCTTTAAGTGTCGGTGCATCCTGCCGCTACAGCACGGCACATGCAGAGTTTACAGCTCTTGCCGCCACAGCATCTACCCGAATCATGAAGGATGGCATGAAGATTTTCCGCCCGTCGAAAGAAAGATTCCCACCTGTGACGGGCGTCAGGCGCAGCAGTCCCGCGCGCTGCATGTCCCGCAGAAGGTATGCCTGTCACCGTCTCGCGATATCTTCAGAGAGAAGGCGGGTCATACTTATAGTCCCCATTGTAGTTCCTTTCAATTGGTTTAGCCAGTTCTATATCTAAGATTCTCCAAAAATGGAGCTGCAATGGAGACTATACAAGTACCCCTACTGTAATTTCTACACCCTCAACATGCACCCTGAGCATGCAATGCACGAGCCCAAGCCGTCGTGGCCTGGTTTAAGTTTTTTGTCTGTCCGTCCGGTTTTCTGCCGGGCTGCCCAAACCTTCACCCTTGCACACACGCTTAACCCATCTTACTAATCTTACCCCTGAACCTGAAGCCTTCACGAACCGTGCACGAAAGGAAGCCAAGCAAAAGCAGCAAGCCAAGCCACCCGAACCGGAACGAAGCCACGCAACAGCCAGAACACGTATACCAAGAGCGAAGAGAGAACTCTCAGGCACACTTTGTCTTGCAGCCGGGACTCCTTGATGCCACGAAAATCTACTTGAAGGATCATGGGACTTTCAAGTAGATGTAGTTACTTATACTTATAAGCCCAATTAGGGGACTTATAACCTTACTTACCAAGTCCCATGGTCCTCCGAGTAGCTCCAATTTGCTCAGAGCTAAGTCTCTACCCTTAAAGCCTCAGCCCTGCCCTGCATATGCAGTGGACGCACAAGCCCCGAACCGCAAACGCATAGCATCTGATCTTCTCGTGTTCTGCTTATCGCGCCGATGTTCACAATGCGTCTGATCTGATCGGTTCAGTTTGCAATTCTCCTGGGAGTGGCGCCGTATCGGATCCTCCTCTTAATGCCGCCCAAAATTTACGATTTCACAGGACTTCACGGTTCCCGACGACACTTGCACATCCGCACAAAAAGCACACGACATGCTCATCATGGCAAGGATGCGAAGCATGTATGATGCGTACCTTGTCACGTGCGAGTCCTGCCAATCTGCTGGGACTGAGCCGCTTCTGCTCGGCCCATTTCTGTGCTGCTGGTGCATCTTTGGCAGCACGCTCCTAGGCGGTTTGGGGCCAAGAAGCTAGTTGAATGTTGGATGCAGGCTGTGAAATCCAGCGGCCGCGCATGCTTGCAGCGTGCCAGAACGCTCAGCTCATGACCTCCCAAGCCAGAAGCGCCCGAGCAGCAGCCACTGGATCAGACCAGCTGCAAAACTCTTTTTGAGCTTCGACAACCTGTTGTGCAGCTGAAAAAAGGCATAGATCTGGTCATCGAATCGAACACTGGTCAAAATAACTGCTGTCACCGTACCTCTTGTCTGCTTCCAACGAAAGGCGCCCGGCCGCCAGCTGCGACCAAGAGCGCGGCTGCTGGCTGTGGAATGCCCAGCACACAACCAAGCCTCCAAGAGAGTGCATGTCAACGACCAACAAGTCATTCATATATATATATATACATATATATATATAGATATTGACAAGAACTTTGAAACTATAAAGCTAAGATACATCGCAGCTCTTCCCAGCAATGGCTCCAGTGGCAGCCTGGCCAGCACCTTCCAAGCAGGAAGGTGTACCAGGGAAGCGCTACAGCCTGCAAGCGCATGGGCTTTGACGAAGCGTGCCTCTCCGATTGCCAGCATTGTAGGGCAATCTTCAGGATCGGAGTTGCTAATGGCACGGATGGCGACGAGCTGCTCCATCGCCGAATCCACTGCCGCAACGTTTGGCTGATCCAGCGCACTTGCAAGGAACTTACGTGGGTCCCGCCCCAGGGCGATAGCCTGGACAGTGCGGGCATGACTCTGAAACGAAGAACCTGCTTCCTCCTGCTATCTCGCGACGACGACAACGAATACTTCCATAGCATGTCATTGCTTCTGATCATGCCATGTGTCCTTGTTGTTGAAACGCGTGCGCAGAACGGACTCTTCAGCTTGCAGGTCATTGCAGGTTCTGCTGTTTCCAAACAAACCTTTTCGGCAAATGCGCATGAATGGCAAACATCCCCACATTCACACGTCTCGCCTGAAGGCAGCTTTGGGCGAGGTCACAGCGCTGCATTTCCGGTGAAGGCTGCGGTGGGAGCGCCTGACTTTCAGCTTCTGACCACGCGCTACAGTCACGTGAGAGTTGCACCGGGGCAGTGGCCGAAAACTGCTGGCGGCTGTACAATCGCAGAACCCTCCCGGATCGCACACGCCCTGCACGACCTGACATCATGTCATGAACTTGAGGGGGTGTTGAATCTACCCCCTGGAGTGTGACTTCTGGCAATTGGCTGTAATGTGAACCTGCATGGGGCATTCAAACGGCACCCTGGAGTCTGGAGGACTACTCCGCACGCCAAGGCGGTATCTAGAAGCGCTCAGGTGGGTTGGCTATATGCGGCTATATATTTTAAGGATAAAGGCTACAGGCCAGCGAGTCAGGAAGCCAATCTCTCGAATACCCAGTCTCGACGCGGGGGTCGTGCGCTAGCCAAGTCCAGATTTCAAGCTCTGCAGAACAAACATCCAATCCATAAAGAAGGTCCGGAAGGCCAGTTTCTGGTTCGTTGCTTTCTGGGATGGTGGACTTTAGTACCGCTGCATGTCCAACCAGAGCAGGACACCCATGGAGCCTCGTCTTTGGACGGCACCACTCTGCGAGACCCATACAGTGTCCAGTGATGACATGCGCCGCTTGGCATCGTAGGCCAACTCGCGCTGGAGCCCCGAGTCAATTACGACTTCCACCTTTCGATGGTCGAAAGTCACGAAAACATGAAACCGAGCCAGGATGGCTTAACCCAGTGGAAATCCGATTTCGGAGTGTGGACAAGGATCATCATTGATTGTCACAGAGCTCTCTGCGATGTTCGTGGCCAGGATGACTTTCACTTTGCTTTTCGGCGGCTTTTGGAAAACTTGCTGCTGCCTCTCCTGCAGCAAAGGATCGACTGAACTCGCACGAGGCTTGACTAAGGAATAGGCCTTACATCATCATATTAAGGCCCCTATAATCTAAGGTATATTCCTAAACCCTAAACCCTTATAGATCCCTTTAAGGGCCCTGACAATATAAGCTTGACTCAACGTGCAGATGCCACTTTGACAAAGGCTGCGCCTTGGGTAGGGTCGAGTGCAAAGGCACAGACCAGATCTGCTTGGCTTCCTCTCCTTCGCTCAGCCGTTCTTGCAGCTGCCTGTGACAACCATGAAGCCGAGCAAGCAGCACTACTAGTAGCTGTTCGTGTGAATATCGAGTTGAGTTTTTTCAGGAACAATATTGCACAATCATTCTACAAAAGCTCGATTAGGCTCATAGCCAACCTCTGTTCGGCCTCTGCCGGCACGTCGCACATACGTTGGGTGCAAACTGGAGATGCGTTGAACATCGTGGGGCGAGCAAAGCCCAGCAAGCCCAGGTTCATCGACGCTTCGTGTTGATTTTCCTATTCTACTAGCTGCTACCTTGCTATACCTACAGTCTCCATTGTAGTTCCTTTTTTTGGTTTAACCAATTATATCAACGAGTTTATAAGGTATCCCCCAAAAGGAAGTACAATGGAGACTACCGGTACTATGTCATTCATTCAACACTCAGATTCGTCATGGCCTGATTTCAGACCAGCCAGGTAGGAAGCAGAGCACCTCACGCGGGCACAGGCGGGGTTATTGGACCCTCATAAACCTATGGGGTTTAGGGTTTAGGGTGCACTGGCCCAGTGGCAACACTGGTCGGGTCTCTCTCGATCATTTAGCCGGGCCACAGAGCCCTTGACTTCTTGACCTCGGTTCGCCAGCGAGCGAAACTGCGCAGGAAATTGTAAGCCAACTTTTCGAAAGGCTTGCTTAGGTCGTCAGGGCAGTTGCAACCCATTGTCCAGTCGAGCATCTGTTCCTGCTGGACATCTCCCGCACAACGGCGCAAATGGATGATTCCATCACATGGAGAAGTTTGTCGATCTCCCCACCATCGTATCCGCCCCACAACCTCTGTGCTGGGCTTTCCCGGTCTGCATCATCGCCTCATGTTGCCGACAATGTAAGACAACTCGCTCTCGACCTTCACCTGCTACGCTGCCAAGTGTACAGCAACTGCCACATTGGTACTTGAGCTGGTGGCAGTACTGTGGTAGCAGTAGCAGCAGCAGCAGCAGCAGCAGCAGCAGCAGCAGTAGCAGCAGTAGCAGCAGTAGCAGCAGCAGGAGCAGGAGCAGTAGCAGCAGCAGGAGCAGTAGCAGTCGCAACCGCAGCAGCAGTAGCAGTAGCCGTCGCAGTCGCAACCGCAGCAGCAGTAGCAGTAGCCGTCGCAGTCGTAGTAGAAGCAGCAGAAACAGCAACAGCAGCTCCTAGTAGCACCACCCCAGCGCACCTAGATTCTACTACATCTGTACTATATATCATGTTATCTTATAGTCAAAGATGCTATCCTACATTACATGCTCTACTGTATTATCCTGCCCAGTGCCTTTATATAGGTAGTTGTCAAAATTATGGTCCCTTTTGGGGTCCCAAATAATAGGTGCCGTATTATAATAAGGACCCAAAAAGGGTCCCTAATTTTGACAACCACCCATATACTTCAACTAAGCACAGCCGCCCTCCTGGGTTTCAGTCTGCTCCGCCGCCTCACGAGCCCGATCCTGAGCAAACCCATGTCACAAGACAAGCGACGATGAGGGTGGGTTTAGGGTTACATAGTAAGTCGGTTGGTAGAAGGGTTATAATTGGGGTAACTCCATTTAGGGTGCCTGGGCCTCCAAGTTTAGGTTGGGGATTTAGGGTTGAGGGTTTACGATGTGGGTAGTTCTCTAATTTAGGGTCCCTTTTGGGGTCCTTTTTATAATCGTGCCGTACTATATTGGGGGCTTTAAAAGGGACGCTAATTTAGAGAACTACCCATGTAGGGTTTTAGGGTTTCAGCACGCACACTCGGACAAGCCTGGGCGAGATTCTACTTGGAGGACCATGGGATTTAGTAAGTAAGGTTATAAGTTCCCTAATTGGAAGTTATAAGTATAGTTACCTTAGTTATAACCCTACTTACTAAGTCCCATGATCCTTTAAGTAGGGTTTAGGGGTTGCGCACTCACCACTGGGACTAGCCAGGCGAGGTCTATGAGGTGCAGGTCGGCAAGAAACTGGGTGAGTAGCGGCTTCAGGGGTTTAGGGTTGATAGAGGTTTAGGGGTTGAGGGCTTACAGCAAGCAAATTAAAGCGCACCTCCGCGGTCAGCAGTGCATTCGTATAGGTGAACTCCGAGAAGAAATCTTCTTCCAGATGCACCTCCTCGACTGGGAAGAGCGTTTCGGACTGGACCTGCCGACACCATAGGCGGGAGGACCATGGGACTTAGTAAGTAATAAGTAGACTTATAAGTACCCTAAAAGGGAGCCTAATTGGGGTTATAGTACTTATAAGTCCATAAAATAACCGATTACTAAGTTCCCCGACCCTCCAAGTAGGCTGGAGGACATAATGCCACAAGACAGGGCGCCTCGAGAACAGGACACGAGTCGAAGTAGCTCGTAAAGGACTGCACCTCAGATCTACGTGGCATTCGGGGCTACCTATAGTCTCCATTGTAGCTCCTTGTTGGGTTACCTTAATCGGATCCTAAATATACAATGGGTTAAACCAGAGCAGGAACTACAATGGAGACTGCAGGTACAGCTGGTGAAAAACAAACTTTTACTCCGAGTCAAGCTTCATCCAGCGTGGCGCTCATCAGGACGAGCTTCAAATCTGGCCTGCTTGGCAGTACCTGCAACTTGCGATGCACCGAAAATCTCAGCGCTGGGATTCGTTTTCCACCTTCAACCTTGCATGTAATCCTACGGGTATGTATTCTGGGGCATTAACGCAATGTACTCAAACACGGTATACATGCGTAATTAGCTAGCTAGAAGATCCAAGAGCAAGGCCTCACGCAGCAAAACCAGAAGGAAGTCCGTCAGCATGTCGCGCTCGTGAACTTCGTCCACGATGACCACATCGCAATTTCGCAAGCAGGAGTCGTCAACTGCTCGCCGGAGCAACGTTCCTACAGTTAAGAATTCGATGGACCCCCTGGCAGAAGGCCGTATAGCATTCCCATGCACGGCATAGCCAATGGACTGTCCGACCTGAGATGTGGGTGGCTTTGTTCTCGCTTGTTCAGCACTTGCCTTTGATCAATTTTTGCGGTCTTTGCTGAGCCTGTGACCGGCTGCCCACGCTCCCAGGCCACACGCTCTGCCACAGAAATGGCGGCAATCCGGCGCGGCTGGGTGACTACAATCCTGCAATTTGACCGGTGCGAAAACTCAAACGATGGGGCATCAGTTGTTTGTCGGCAGTAGAACTGATGCCTGTACCTCGAATTGGCTGCAGTGTATTTCAACTCTTGTCTTTACCGGCCGGGCAACCTAGGAAACATCGCGATGAGGGCCTTCTATAAGGAGCGTGTTGTTAAGTGCCTAGCCTTTGCAGGAGGCTTCTTTATGTTGACCCGGCTCCGCATCCCTTCGTCGTTCCTTGGCGCATGCTCCGCGTCCCAGTCGTCCAGGAGAAACTGCCTGGGTTTCATGGATCCGCCAAGCATCAACGCTTCGTACAACACTGTGCCCCAGCATTATTAAACGTTGAAAATCAGCAAGCATAACATCGACAAGAACTCCTTCTGATGCTTTCCAGCATTCTTTATGTAGAGCTTCCACTGCAAGCAGGGTGCGGGAGCTGGGTCGTCTTGCCGCTTCCAGTACCACCAGACACAACCAACACTTGAGACGAGTTCAGCACCTGATCCAGCTGATTTACGGATCAGGGCACCGAGACCCTGCGCTCTCACTCCGAATGCATAAACCTGTCTGGTGCTTAGTAGGGAATGGGGGACTGGATCCCTATGATAGTCCCTTAAGGTCCCTTATAGTAGTCCCTATAACCCATTCCCCCATTCCCTACTAAGCACCAGACAGAAACAGGGAAGCTTCGGATTTACCCTTACCTGGACCCCCAAAGTATGTAGAATAATAGCCTTTTAGAGGTTTTGGGCCATTATTTTACCAACTTTTGGGGGGTTTTGGTAGAAGGCGTGAACTACAAAGCAGCCAGGGTGGAGCCTCTCCCAAGCTCTCCCGAATCTGTTCGATGGGAAGCTTGCCACGAACATCCACCCGTCTTGGGTCATCCGCTTCAGGGATTCGGCGAAAGTGCCTGAACACTGCAAAGTGAAAGTTTGAAGTTGCTTCGTGGCAGTTCAGGTCGCAATCAAAATGTCGGCCAAGGCTGCCGGAACGTCGCTGCATCTGCTGAAGGGGTCTCGGCACCTTCGTAGAGCTGTTCAGCAGCCCACCTGGACAGCCCGCCCTACCTCGAGAGATGGGTATCGGAAAGTACGAAGATGGGCATTAAGCGGATGGTGATGGTGGATAAACGACCACGGAAACTCTGTGCGGGCTGCTGCTTGCAACGATGCTGCTCTTGAAATCAGCAAAGACCGATGCGGGTTAGAAGGGCACAAGTACCTGTAGGGGTCCTATGTAAAAATTCTCTCTCCCTGATATGTATAATATATTATGAATGCAAATCCCAGAACTCTCTTCACTTCACTCCATTGCCAAGTTAAGTATAATGGCACAAAGGGGGGCCTCGTACATCTCCTGTCCTGGATGGATTTCAGGTTTGTTTGCCACAGCTTCCAGTTGGCTTCCGTGGGCAGCACTCGTCGCACTTCGTCCTGAAGCCCACGGCTTACGAGGACGGCTTACGGCTTTAGGGTGTTCGACTCACACACTCGCACAGGGCAGGCACTTTACGATTTTAGGGTTCACGGTCTGGACAGGGTGTATAGGAGTATGGAATGAGCTCCGCTGGAGTTGCCCGTCCTCGCCGCCCATGTGACCCCCAAGCGGCGAGAGGCGGAGGACCTCGTGTCTCAGGACACTCGTCCTTCCACTCCATGGCTGGCCCATGGACGCCTGCTGCCGGACGGAACAGGCGGAGCGCGACAGTCCAACCCTCCCTACGAGCCGTGGGGTAAAGTCGCATCAGGGTGCGTTGAGTCACAACATCCCCCTTGTCACGCGCCGATCCGCGTTTAGTCGCATCACCCGCATTTAGCCACATCAAACATATCGAAAAAACCATGGGAACGTGGTCCGGATGTGGGTTTCAACACATGTAACGACATGAGTGACATGGCACCGTGCCGCAAGTATTTGTGCCTATTTTGCAGTCACATCACCTCGCTTGATGTGGAGCTGCTTATGCCGAGCCGCTGTCTTGTCATGATATTATCATGAATACAGATAGTCTCAGCTTGTGTATTTTGCAGTGATGTTCGGGTTCTAACCTGTGGGCTAGTACATCGGCCTGCGCGACGCCCGCGCGACCCCCAGTTCTCACATATGTATTTTTACTTGGCGCTGGCCCTAAATCGCCTCACGCCGTCGAAAATCGCGCTCAAGACACACATCCGCGGTATCACAACACATCAATACCGGGCATTCCCCATCAAGACACTCGATTCGACAGGCGCCTCTCGGCACATCAAAACCAGCCATTCCCCGTGCAGATGCTGGATGGATTTCGTAAGCACCAACTCGACACACAAGTGGCATCACAACATGTCAAAACCAGCCGTTCCCCACAAAGATGCTCAATTCCAACTCGTTCGAGTTCGAAACACACATACGTGGCATCATTGTGTTATAGCGGAATCCCCTCTTGCACGCTGGATCGATGCGACTAAACACAACGCGATGCGACCGAACCCTTGGACCCAGTAGCAGAGATTAGCAGAGTGTACAGTGCTCGTATGTGCTCGTGCTCGCAAGCTCCCAGGCTCTGAGGCATACGAATGGAAGGGAGACACATCCGCAGATAAACCAGTTCTTCATTCAATTGCAGGACATCCACCCTGGAGACTTGTCAGCCTGCCGCTGAGCCCAAGTCTGGCTCCACAACCTGGACATAAAACAGCCACAACGGTCAAGAGGTGCAGAGCATGGGTCGGCCAAGCTGGCACACGAAAGCTAGATGCCCTTGAATTATGCAGGCGAGGTGCTCTGGCTCATGGGGATCACCTGCCGGGACGCGAATGTACCAGCGCAAGCGGCTCATGAACGTTTCCGCTGCGAGAGCGACGGCAACCTTGCAAAGGCAGGCCAGTTCGCTTGGCTGCGACATGCCAACTTGCTCGGTTTGTGTGTTGATTGTTAGCAAGCAGCATCACGGTCGTAGTCGGCGGCCGGGCCCACGACATGGGTCTCAAAACATTTGCAAGCGATTGCAGCTTGCCAGGCTTTGCCGCAAGGCTGGAAGGCACTGATAAAGACATCCTCCAGCTTGCCCTCCAACGAGACCAGCCTGAGACAGACGGATCCATCTTCAATCATCTGTAAAGCGCTGACTTGACGGCTCCCCATAAGGAACGGGAGAAGTTGCTGATTCTACAACTTACTGTCTAACGCATGCTCAAACTTTCGGTCTCACGTAGAGTCTTATACGGAATCTAGGCCCAGTCACGTCTCCGCTGCTTGGATCGCCGGCAAGCGCGCTCCGGAATGGGCTTCGTTGTTTCGCATTGCTTTTGCGCAGCGTTTTATTTCCTGTCACATCATCATGCAGGCACAAGCTTTTGCTTCAATGCACTGGGCAGCAATGTACATACTAAGGCTAGTCTTAGTCGCTGTCTGCTGAGCGCAAGTTGTCCTGTTAAGTCTTCCCCCTCCCCGTCCTCAACCGGTTCTTCTGGGAAAAACAGTCGATCCAGAGCTTGCTGGGCAGCCAATTGCTTTGCATCTTCGCTGCCGACTGCGAGCCCTGCCCCGGCAACAAAACCACATTGGTGAACGTCGCAGGTCACCAAGGCAAAAAACCGCCCGCGCTTCAGCTGCTGGACGGTGTACTTCCTCTGCTGGGCTTGGACGCTAGTGCCGGAACCTGGGCCTGTAAGTAAGATATTGTGATATCCTATATTTTGAGTCCGCAATATCTTGTGTTAAATTATCTATTAGACTATACTCTATTATATAACACTCAGCACGACTAAGGGCCCGACACTTGTGCTAGCTGTCCGCTCTCCCGCCACGCTTCAAGCCTATCCACCGACTCGTGGGAAATCTCGTCGAATTGAACCTCCCCAGCACAACACCCCAAAGGCTCCATGTACCCATATAGTAGATACTTATAAGCCTTAAAGGGGACGCCTAAGTATCTACTATATGGGTACATGGAGCCTTTGGGACCCTTGAAAGCATCCGGCCGCCGTAATTACGCCTGCACTTGTTGAAACCGAGTCCTCCATGAGCGGTCTGAGCTCCGCGTAGTCCGTCATCCAAGGGTCGCCGGCATACTCTAAATATTTCTCCAAAATTGGCCTTGGAAGGTACACTGAACAACGAAAAGAAGCAACATGACACGAAGAATGCTCTTTCAGAATACTAAAAGAAGCTCTTACAAATCCTTGCAACATGCGGTCGCATGGGGCTCGGAAGATTTGAGCTGTTGTAACAAGCCTCGAATCTCCTGCGCCAAAAGCATTTTCTGGCAAGGGTATGTGAAAGGGGAAGTTGTCGAACCACTCGATCCGACATGAGCCCGTCGGTCCCTCTTTGGCCATTTGATAATGGTGCCAAGCGAACTTTGGGCTTTCGCTGAAGTGCAGACGGCGGCGGCTGCCTGGCAATAAACATGGAACCATGAACTGCAAGATGCTTGAGCGGCGGTCAAAACCTCTCTTTCATCCTGTGACGCTAACAAACCTTGCGCGTTTATGCCGCGTGGAGCTTCCGCGACTGTCCCTAACGCGCGGCCCCTTGAATCTGATACAAGCTTTACCTTGCGCATTGCAGGTCCTTGTGCAGGACTGGAAAACCCAATAGCTGCTCAGACAAGCAACACAAGCAACACACCGGCATGCTGGGGTTGACACCGTGGCACATCCCGCGCCGGCAGCCCTCGCAAAGCAAACGAATTCAAACGAACATGAAACAGAAAGGCACATACAGACACCTGCAGACTCACGTGCCGAAGTTTATGATTGCATCTGGTGTTGTCGCAATGCCGACCGACGGTTCCGCACCTTAGTGTCTGCCAGGAGCTTTTGTCATGAATTCGAGACCATCGCTGCTTCCAGCGAAGTCCCTCTCTCGCGCACCTGCTCGACATGTCTGCATCATTCTGTATCTGTGTGCCCAGTATGCAACAAATACCGACCTGGAAATAGGCAACATGGCGCGCGACGAAGCACACCGAAAGCCATTCACGGCCAAGGGATGCGGCACTTGCCTCGGAGCTGCAGGACCATGTCCTCCGACTGATCGTCTGCTGTAAATGGACGCAGTAACACAACCTTTCAACTATTTAGGAGGATTCTGTGCTGAGCACCCCGCATTGGTGGTAATGGTGCCACGACGTGCCCCGCAGCCGATGACAATGAAGCCACTAAGGCATCTACATGCGTCTTCGATGTGGTGTCTTTGGTGTTGTGCGGTTTGTCAGTGTGCGGAATTCCGAAGCTGTTAGGACTGCCATGGTGATGTGTACCAATATCACGCCAGAAAACTAGAACGCAGTACGACAAATTTGGCTCATCCACGACATGTCGGCGCTACACTTTGTTTGTTTGTTTATTGTGTCACTGCGAAAGATTTCGCACACAGTGGCCTCAGCTTTTTCATGCCTTGAAACGGTACTGGCCAAAGGACAGTGACATGGTGGATGTCTGTGCATGCCGTCCGCATCCATCCGCCTCAAGATGATTTTCCTGGGTTGGAACGCCGGTCAACACATTGGCGTGCGGCAAGTAACGCGTAGTGCGGCAGCCGTTGAACTGCATGCCCTCGTGCCTATGTCCAGCCCGGCTGTGGCGCCACGTTTCAAACGCATCCCGCATCCCGAGCTCGCTCATAATTGTGTGTTGAAGTCTGCCGCCCTCGCTGCTTGCAGTACCGGGTTTGCTTGCTCTTCCCCCTGCCGCCCTCCGAACTGCTGAACGATGACTGCTCAAACCACCGGCGCGTGGCGAGTAGAGGCTGGTGTTATAAGCGTCAAGCCGCACCTCGGCCTGGAACCAGGGCACGTTCGCTTGGTTGGGGGCTCTGCGTTGGTAAGCCAGCTGCAAACGCGCACTTTTCACCAGTTAACCATAGCTAGTGTGCCGCTTCAGATCCGAGTATGTTCCGAAGCAAAGCACAACCTTGGAGACAACGACAGAAAGAAACGCCTGAAACAAAAAAAAGACGCTTCTCTTCGTGCAGGACCTCGTCCGCCTCCGCTGTTACCGCGCCCCGCCAGCGTTGCGCAGCGCAGCGCGAGCGGCGGTGGTGCTAACTGTCAGTGGCGGTGCAGCAAGCCGTGCTCTGGTACAGACGTGGCCTGCCCCTTTGCAGCCACGCCAGCCGGACGGCCCAGACTTGGACCGCGTCCTGGACCTAGGGGGGCCGGCGGGACGCAGTCGCTTGCCGACCTGCTGATGGGCAGTAGAAGTAGAAGAGGCCGGCAGCTCGTTGTAAGATGGTCGCGTGGTCGCGGCTTGAGACCGCTTCAGTCTCCTTCCCCTCCCCCTCGCGCACACTGCCAACGTTGATGGGGAACCCTTGGACTTGAGTGACCTTCTCGGGGCTGCGCACGAGGCACTTCCCCCCTCTCTCCCCAGCCGCCTGCCTCCATGCGGCTGAGTGGTCCTGGACTTCGTGGACTTTTCGGCCGCCGTAATTTGTGCACTGGGACCGCCTACAGGATTTCTTCGAGAAAAGGTGCGTTGAAAAAAAAACCCTTGAGCACGCGTTGCTTAGCTGCAGTGCTCACCGACATATGACATGCGCCTGCGCTGGGTGCCATAATTTGTTGGCACTGTCCCGCTCTGGCTATAAACCGGCTCTTCAGCAGCAGCCCTTGCATCAACAGCGCAACATTCACGACGTGTGGATGGTCATGATGGTCAGGAGTGGGTGGTCACGATGAGAAAGGATGAACTCTCGGGTCTCACCGGGTCCCCTACGCTTCATGTCAGCACCCCATACCCAATTGGACGATAACAACTGCGAAGTCGTAAATTTACGCGGGCCTCGCGATTTGCGAGTCAACCCGGATGGCACATTCATGCCACGAAATGGTTGCCATCAGAAAAATGGTGGCACAATTTCAATGAGAAGCCGAGCCGAAAGCCTGGACGTCCCGCTACACATTGGGATGATGATGATGATGATGATGATGATGATGATGATGATCGCTGCGATTCACCTTCGCAGGAATGGTTGGGTCGATTGTGCTGCATCGTCGGCCGAATCAAGCCCTGTTCATATCCTAGGCTGGAGTATAGATAGGCGATCAAAAGGGTCACGGACCTGACCGGGGGGTTTGTTTCGTGGGTGCAAGTTCCAAAACCAGTAACATGAGCAGATGTGCACCTGGTCATGTGAAGGGGGAACAGGAGTCGTGGCAAAAGCATGCAGTGTCCTGGCCCGCTTTGGCGTCTCATGCTCCAAGCATGGTCTGGCATCACCTGCACCGACACCGCCGTAGCGCAGCTGCGGACCTCTCCATTTGCAATTTCTCGCTTTGCACACCAGGCCAAGATGTCGGTATCAAGTGGTTCGTAAGGCTCAACCGGGCGTCGGGCCGGGTCGCGTAGGTGTTGCAAGGCGGTGTCACGCGCGGCTGACAGCTCGCCGAGGTGTGCAAGGTGAACGCACGGTCTGCACGCGCATCCTGACGGGGCTGGGGCAGTGCAGCGGTGGTTTGCGCGTGAGTCGCGGCCTCGGCAGCTTCTAGAAGGGCTGGCCATTCCCCTTGCGACGGGCGGGGGGCCGCCGCGAACCTCGGCGAGGACCGTGCAAGCAGCGCAAATGTCACCACCAGGCAGCTCGAGGAGGGGCGCTGCAAAGGCACGCATGGCAGCGACCGCAAGGAGGCCGGACCAACGTTGGACCCAGCCTGCACAAGCCGCAGCCCGGAGGAGGGGTGGAAGGCTGGCTTCTCGGTGCCGGGTAAGGTGACGGAGGAAGGAGGCAGCTTCAGCACCGCAGCGCCCGCCGACCTCGACCCCGATANNAGACGGGCCCGTCGCGCGCTAGCGAGGTCCTCGCTGACGCGTGCGCCAGGACAAGCCTGGAAGCCTAATTGCTCCCCTATAGAGCTGCCGCGGTGAAGGAGCCGCTGTGACGCGGACACCCTCTGGCAGTTGCGAAGGCGTGAGAAAGCGCACACACACACACACACGCAGACACACACCAACAACAAAACACAAGATTTTCAGGCTGTCGCCCAAAACATAAAATGGATTCGCGGTTGCACGTTTGCGACAGCATGTGAGACCACATCTACATCCCCTTTTGTTTACAGGTCTCCATCCCAAGCTCGTTTGTGGCGCCATGCCCAATGCGGACATCATCAGGCTTCTCGCGTGAGTGTTCTGCTCGACACCGCCACACCGATGTTGTGACATGCCGTATACGACCCCATGCTATTTGTGTGCCGTCGGCATTATTCCCTTGAGAAGGGCGAGCACTCCCGGCGGCCGAGGCACAGTTGCTCTTAACCGTGGCTGCTGAAACCAACGCCCTCCCAAGCAACACCGCGAGCTCGTGCAGCTCTGGCATGGGCGCGACGCAAGCGCGCTGCGCGGCGACCGCGATGAGCCCCGACCAGCGCGCTACCCAAGTGATCGCGGCAGGACGCAGCTGCATAATGGGATAGCATGGGGACGCCGAGCCCGGCTGCGCTGTCACTGCTGCAGCACGCCGCTATGACATCAAACCACTGAAGCTGCCACCATTGTCACACCGCCTCCTTGCCCTTGCTTAGAGCGCCGCCCGCCGCCGTTGGCTGCAGATGGCTGCAGCTGGCACCCGGACTTGGACCCTCCGTGACTTTGTGACTTTTGTTTTTTTTGCAACCGTCTCCACACGCGCGGTCCCCGTGCACACACGGC